GCTATGTATACATGGCACATACGAAGCTTACGTGGATTTCATGTGTAGACTTGGCTGTACAAGATATCTCATTATGTACATGCAAACATTCCAATTTTTTTTAAAAATCCAAAATCTAAAATACTTCTAATCTCAAGTATTTTAGGTAAAGGATACTCACCCTATATTATCCAAGCATGATGTTCAGTAGAGATGCTCAACCTATGTCTCGCCCTTTCTCTGGGTGGACTGGAGCTGAGATCTCAGAGTCACTGGTATTGACACAGTGTGGTAGAGTAGAAAGATGCTTTGGGGTGGATATATTCAGACACAGGAAGCATATGTAATGTGCCCAACACATGGTCGATGCCAGGGAAATAGCAGCTAATATTTTTTAAGGAAGAAATTTCTCTTTCGGCACCTACCTCTGGGTCCAAGTGTCTCTTCATGGGAGATTCCTTTTCTGTGTAAGGCAGAGAGAACAGGACTAACCCTCTTTCTCTAAGATTGGAAATTCTGCTCGTTCCTGTCCCCACTGCTTCCTCTCACCAACAAGATCCCTGGGTACAGCAGAGCAGCTAAGCTCCTATGCTCTTGGTCCAGAATTGCATCTGTCACTTAGAAGCTATGTAAGTGACAGATGCAATTGTCACTTATGTAAGTGACAGATGCAATTGCTTCTACATGCCCCCCCATTAGAAACCCTTACCTCTCTATGCCTCGACCTCTCATCTGTGAAATGGGGTTGCCCATTTTATTCTATCTTCTATGGTGGCTGTGATGATTAACCCAGTTAACACATGTAAAACACTCAGAAAAAGGTGGTGCTTCGTTCTTCCTTATAAGCTGGTCCACAGTGCTTGTCTCCTATCTCAGCCATTGTGGCCCAACCTGAAGAGCTCATTCCCTGTCTTGAAAAGATGCCCACCAAGCAGCCTTCCATTCTCCTCTCACTTGATGACTGGAAAAAAGAGAAGGCTGCATTTGTATGAGAGAGGAGAGGGAGAAAGAATTGAAAGTCTGTTGCCATGCTAAGGATTTCATATATGTTGTTCAATTTTATCCTGATAGCAACCTTCTGCACGAGGTACAATTACAGAAGAGAAGCTTGAGGCTCAATGGGTTTATATAGTCTACCCCAAATCACACAGCCACCAACTGAGAGCTGACACCACACTGAGGAATCAGTGCTTTGTGCCACTCTCAGTCAAGTGCGCAGCAACCATGAAAGTCAAGTGCACAGACCCTTCCTACCCTCCTGTGATTAAGAGTAATTAAAATATCTTATGGTCGAAGAGCACTTGACCCTAAAGTGCTTCCATGTACAGTATCCCATTACCCTTCCCCCCATCTTCCCATCCTAAGTACTAGCCCTTCAAACTAGAAGAACACAGGGCTATTTGTACCTATTTTTACAGATGATGGAGTTGACCGGCACATTTTGCCCAAGTGACAGGACTCTCCTTGTAGCCCATGGTAGACCAGAACTCGACCTCTGTGTTCTCTTCCATCCTTGAAGCTCCTTCTTCAGTCAACTCTTTCCAAGTTCATTCTGTGCTCGACCCGCATATCCATGGAAGATGAGACAGCCCCTTCTCCTGGAAGCAGAGGAAGGGGCTGTTCAGTCCAGGCCAGGAAAAAAACCCTTCCTAGCTAGGCCAGACACCCCCCATGCCTCTGAATTCCACAGCTTTCTGTTCCTCCAAGTTCACATTCACGGGCTGTTAGAAACTGCCAATCTGACTTCCAGTCTTTTTAGCAGGTGCTTTCTGTCCTTTCTGAAGCTCCTGGGACCGTGAGAAGGTCACTGACCATCTCCTGGTCCTAAGCATATTGAGAGCTCAGATTGCTACAGCATTATATGAACACATGACTCTCTAGACGCCCAGCCAGGCAACAGGCCCTGGTGGTACCTCTTCCTTTGAAAAAGAAGGAAACCTGAGATTAGATGGTTTGAACTCCATGCCAGGAGAGCTGAAGAGCAGTCTAACAGCAGTGGAGTTAGCTAAGTTAATTTCATAAGAGACAAACTCTACTTTTCAACATGGCTTATGCCCCTATAAGCCATGGGCCTTATACAAGGTGGATATACAAGGTATGTCCACGATCCTGGGGACATACCTTATAAATGTATCAGGCATTAACTTAGTAAGCTGAGAATGATTTGGACTGAATGATATTTCAGTCCCACCACTGAAAAAATTAGATTCATAGTTTAAGGACCAGAAAAGGTGCCTTCAAGCATGATGTACTAGCATACATAGAACCCAATAAAACAGATCCTTCAGCCCATTCAAAGAGTGATAATGGAGTGGTATCCTCAAATTCTAATTCTTACGTGGGTCTTGGGATCCAGAATCTCTCCAAACCTTAGATTTCCCATCTGCAACATGAAGATAATAACATCTACCTCTTGGGTTTCTGTGCTGATGAATGAAATCAATCAGGAAAAAAACTAGCAAAGCATCGGCACATAATAGGTACCAAGTAAGTGTTTTGCCCTTTCCTTCCTTCCTTAGGCAAATCTTTTAAATCCCGCTTCAGATACCCTGTGACTGAGGCTTCCTAGAAACTTGAATTTTCTGGGTTTGGAGAAAAATATGGCTTAGATAAAGCGGTCCCCACTGATCCTCAAAGTACATGTCTTTTAGCTGCTATCAAATTTAGCTCTGGGCAAGAAAAAGTTCCTGTTCTCAAGAGCATCCGTGCCCTGTCTTCCCCACTATGTCCTTGGGACTGGACTCTGCTTCTGTACTAAGGTCATCCTCTGCTAGCTTTGCTTTTCTAGCTATGTTCACCTAATGCTCTTCACCTCTGGCTTCAGAATATGCAAAAGGTAATGGGTGCACACACATGTCCCTCTTCCATGCAGACATGTCCCACCAACCAAATAAGTCAGAATGGGAAGAAAGCAGGCTGAGAGCTGACTGCGCCCCACACCAAATTAGAAACCCTGGCATCTGACTCTGATAAAATGGGGCAAGTCACTTTACTAATCAAGAGGAGGGGATGCAGTCTTCAGCTGAGCCCATGGAAAGACCCACTTCTGTCTCACAAAATATTAGGAAACTTGCTTTTCTACAGGTGAGAATAGCAATGAAAATAAAGGATAGCTGCTGCAGGTTAGAGCTCTTAAAACTTTGTGCTATTTGACCTTCCCACCTGCAGCTGTGCTGAGGGCTGAGCCCAAATGGCAAGTGGCAGGTTTCTCAGGACATTGCAGCCAGCCCATCCTAACTGCAGAAGAAAACAACAGGCTTCCCAGCTGCTCCTATGTGGGAGAGTCTCACCACTCAGATAGCCCCCAGCCAGCAGCCCCTGAGCACTTTCAACCCAGGCTGACTCTGGGTTTTGGCTAAGGTCTCACTCCAGGAGTTTATCATTGATCGGGTGAGAAAGGTCTGGAGCAATTAGCTGGACTCAAGAAAGCCTAGAGTTGCCACCTGACATCCATATCTGTCCCCAACCCCTCCCATACTCTTCCAAAGAACTAGAGAAACAAAATACTTTTATCTACACACGGAAATACAAGGACTCCTTGCTGGGAAATTCCCCTACGGAAAAGAAATAACCAAGATAAACAATGCTATTGCCTTTGGCTCAAGCTGTGAAGGAAGTCTCTGGGAACAGGAGCCCGGGCCAAGGCAGTGAGGAGAGATAATGCCCAGCTCCCTCTTGCTACAGCTCCCTTATCTATTTTTATGGGTGCTCATTACCGCCCTTGCTTATTATTATTGTTTTCTCTTTTAACGCTCTTTGACATATACATTCCAAAGTTGAAAGTCTGTCAGAGTCCGCTGGGATGTGGGGACTTCTCTCCTCTCCTCTTCTCTTCTCTAGGCTGCAATCTGGATCTTGAGAAGAGCTGCAGTCAGGTGGGGTCCTGGGCCTCAAGCCTCTTGGGGCTGTGTTGGTGGTGGACACAAAATCTACAAGGGCTGCCTCAGATTCTCTGTTGGTTTCTGCCAGGCCTTACAGGCATGATTACAAAGATCTTAACATCTACATGCTTAACTCTGCTGCCATCACCAAATCACTGGGAAACCTTGGGCATCACTCAGCATCCTAAAACCTTGATTTTCTTATCCACATCATGGTTGTGATGATGTCTGTTGTGGTTCAAGGAAGTTATAGAGCTCAAATGAATAGCGTCAAAGACTGGGTTGGAGAAGCAATCGAGGCCCTGCAAACCACCAGGTATAAACATGCTATCACACTTGGGCTGCGATATCCTGCCGTGGAGTAGCCCAGAGCACAGACCCTGGAGTCAGAAAGCTGGCTTCAAATCTTCCGCTCAAGCCCGACTCTGCCCATCCACACACGCTTAATCCCTGTGTGTGACCTTGAGTAAAGCACTTAACCTTTAAGCTTTCATTTCCACTGATGCAAAAAGTGGTAAGAATACCTATTTCATAGGGTTATCAAGTTTTAAATGAGACAACACATATAAATTATGTAAGAGTGCCCTGGACGTGGTAAGAAACAATTGGTGAAGGTGATGTCTTGCTCCCTCATTATATTTACAACCTTCATAATTATTAGACCTCCTCTGTGGGAATCAGTTTACTTATCTGAACACACCAAAAAAAAAATATGCCAGCCTCTTCCACCTCCCAGAGATATCTGGAGGGCTGATGTTTTGACAAAAATGGAGCCACCTCTTGATAGTAACCAATCATCAGTGAGCCAATCCTAAGGTCTCTATACCACATCTCCTGGACAGAGATACAAAAGAATGTCATCAATAGCCCTAGACAAAAGGAACGTGCAGCTTAGGTAAGAAGACTGAAGCTACTTATAACTACTGAGGACCAATAAGTAGTAGAGGATGATAAAACTTCAGCCATTCATTCATTCATTAGCAGAATTTATGTCAGTTGCTGGAAATGGAGTTTATGGAAACTCTAAGGTCATCTCATCTTTGAAGACTGAGGAGCTTCATCTCCTTGTGGTTATTGTTTTTCAGCATCTCACAAAAGAATTTGGCCTAAGTGGCACAGCCCACGCGGGAGCCACCAGCGATGAGGCTCTTCTTGCTCACCTGCCTGATGGCTGTCTTCCCAGGTGTGTCTGCCAGGTCCCAACTCCCCAGGGTTCCACGTCCTTCATCTGACTCCCTCCAGAATCCAGTTCCCTGAGGACACTGATATCACACTCCCCAGGGATGTCCCTCTCCAAATTCATACTCCCTAGAGAAGGACGTAATGCAGAAGCATCATATCTGAAAAAGGCTTAGTGAGCATCGGGAATCAGAAACAGGAATGGCAATTCCTAATTTCAAGGTCAGGGTCTGCTGAAGGTCTTCTCTGGGAATAAAAAGAATTTGACCTCAAACCAAGCATCTTTATGAGCTACCATGGGATTTGGTGTGACTTGATTATCTTTCCCAGCTCTTAATATTTTTTTTTATGAAAAAAAGGAAAATAGTCTACAAAGTATTTTTTTAAAATATAAGGAAATAGCAATAAGAAATGGAATTATACAGTACCCTACAAAAGGGGAGTGTAGAAAAATAAAAGATATCATAAGTTACTCAACAATTGTGTTTAAAAGATTGCAATTGAATTACATTAGAATTTAATAGTGGTTAAGAAATCATTTTACCCAATACAGCAATTATATACTTGTATCTTGTAAATAACCAGAGGTAGAAATTGCATCTTTGGGGGGAGCTGTCTGGATCCCTCCACCAATCTTTTACCCACCCCCCATCCCCCAGGGTGTCTTAAAGCCTCCGTCTTCTGTTTCCACAGTGGTCTTCATGAAAAGTCCCATATTTGGTCCCGCCGAGGTAAGTAGTGTGCAAGGTAGCTTAGTGTCCATCAAGTGCTACTACCCGGCCACCTCTGTCAACCGGCACACCCGGAAGTACTGGTGCCGGCAAGGGTCCAGGGGCGTCTGCACGACCCTCATCTCCTCGGAGGGCTACATCTCCAAGGACTACTTGGGCAGAGCCAACCTCACCAACTTCCCGGAGGAGGGCGCGTTCGTGGTGAACATTTCCCAGCTCTCCCGAGATGACTCTGGACGCTACAAGTGTGGTCTGGGCATCAGTAGCCGAGGCCTGTCCTTCGATGTAAGACTGGAGGTCAGCCAGGGTAAGGCTCCGGGTGCTGCGGGCTTCACTCAGGTGCAGTGGGAGGGCCGGAGGAAGGACCTCTGATAGGAAGTGGGTCCTGGCCTGGGGTGGGGAGCACCTCCCTTCCAAAGCAAACTTTTCAGAATAGGACACAGAAAGGAGACAGGTGACGTTTACCTGGGGGCCTAAGTCTTCTGGGCCTGTGACATTCTAGGGCTTTACTGAGGCTTAGCTTAGAAGTATCAGGAGGACAACTTCTCTCCTTACATTTAGCGAAGGTGGAACAAGTGGTCTACGAGCCTAGAGAAAAAGAAAAGACACAAAAAGATTTCCAAGGATCCTTAAATTCTTACTATTAATGCACCCTTTAGATGGAGGTCTTGGGCCACCAGAAGGTTTCTTTTAAAAATGAGGATTTATTCTTTCACCTGGGATCCATTCATCTATCAGAACTGTCAGCATAGATTAGAATCTCAGTTCTTGACCAAAGACGGGGTCCTGAAGTCGCGGGCATCTGAACAAGCCTGTGCCGATTAGTGAGAGAAACAGAAAGGCACTACTGACAAGAGTGTAACCATGAGAGCACTAGGGACAGTCAAGGGCAACTTGAAAGACAAAGAGTCTTCAAGAAGGAAATTTGGAGGGACTCTTCAGGGTATGTCTTGCTCCTTTGGGCTGTGTGTGCCGTGGTCCGTTTTCTACAGAGGTTGTTCCATTTGTGATGGAGTCCTAAGAGCTAAAGAGCACTCAGAGTTCTCCCTATGTGGATACCCAGAAGAACACTGTAGACGAGGGGAATCTAGGCTCTGATTAAACACTTTAGATAACAGAAACACACATGCTTCACAAGACAGCCCACTCCACCATTGAACTGCTTTAATTTTTAGAAATATCTATTGTAATGCGCGGCAATTCACCAACCTGTTATGACGTTCATTCTGTTCATTTCCTCACGTGTGAATTTGGGCACCTACTATGAATAGGCATTGTGCTGGGGACTCAAATATGAGAAAAATACGTTTCTGCCCTCCAGTCTGTGGAGAACATAATTAGATCTCCAGTAGACCCGATGAAGGGACCAATTCAAACATAAGAAAGGCAGGGAGGTGGGAGAGATTAGTATCAGCTAGGTGGAGGCATCATGGGGGAGACGATGGAGGGGAGGAAGGGGGTTATCCCTGTCCTCACCCATCGTATGGATCATGGTCAACACCTCTATAGTAAAAGGCAGGTTAACATAACAAATTCATTGGATGAAAGTTTCACATGCATCCGAACCTTCAGAATAAAAACCCAAACATATAGGGAAAGTTGTCTGATTTTATATTTAGGTTCCATGAAGCAGGGAAGGCCATGTGGGAATGTCACAGGACAAAAAAGGCATGAGCTAATCGTGGTAGATGGAGTTGGAAACCCAGGAGGGCTTGACTCTTCAAATTCTTCTTGGCCCTTCAGTATTAGCATTTCTTCCTCCAGGATATGAGCCAGGAACCCTCAGAATGAGGGTCTTATGGCAAACTAGGCTCTATCAGAGAATTTCTTTATGGCCAGTTGTTACACACAAAGGTGGGGGGAAAGTTAGAGTAATGTTTTTAGGTTTTGTGATTAACTTTGGGGTAAAGGGGTCCTAGTTTCTAAGGCCTGCCTTGAGAAAGAGGAATTATAGTTTCTATGACTTGCCTTTGGGAAAAACAAGGGTGGGAGGCAGGAGGGCAGGAGAAGTTCAGAGAGAAAGTTTGCTTCTGAGGCTTCACTTTCAGGTATAATTTTCGGAGTCCCAGCAGACATATTCTGACAGCATCCCTCTGGAGAGTAGGGCACTCCTTGTGGTCAGCCCACCCAGAACCTCACTGGGAACAGCACAGGACCCTATGTTCTAAGAAAACAAAATCACAACTTTTCCCCTGCCCTTCATCCTACAGGACCTGACCCACAAGATGACATTGAAGTCTACACAGTAGACCTGGGTAGAACAGTGACCATCAACTGCCCTTTCAAACGTGAGAATTCTCAGAAAATGAAGTACTTGTTCAAGGAGACAGGAGAGCTAGTCATTAACACCAATTATGTGAACCCCAACTTCAAGGGAAGAGCCAGCATAGTTATTCAGGGTACCAACCAATTAATGTTCAACGTCATCATCAAACAACTGAGACTCAGCGACGCTGGGATATATATCTGCCAGGCTGGGGACGGTTCCAGTAGTAACAAGAAGTATGTTGACCTCCAGGTGCTAGAGCCGGAACCTGAGTTGCTTTATGGAGAACTGAGGGGTTCCGTGAACTTTGACTGTGCCCTGGGCCCTGAGGAGACAAATGTGGCCCAATTTCTGTGCCGGGTAAACAGCCAAGGAAGCTGTGATGTGGTCATCAACACCCTGGGGAAGAGGGATCCAGCCTTTGAGGGCAGGATCCTACTCACCCAAAGGGAAAATGGCCACTTCAGTGTGCTGCTCACAGGCCTGAAGAAGGGAGATGCAGGACGCTACCTATGCGGGGCGCACCCTGGCGGTCAGCAGAAGGAAGGCTGGCCCATCCAGGCTTGGCAACTCTTCATCAATGAGGGTAAGACCCTGGATGGGGAGAGAGAAGGGGTGGGGCAAGCAGTGAGAAACCAGCTTAGCTCCAGCTCCTAGATCTATTCATCAATATTCATCTGTCAATGATATCCATTCCTTAGGAGCCCCAGAGCTGGATGCTATGTACACAGCAGTACAGGAAAGTTAGAAAATGCAGCAGCCTCTGCCTTGTGCTCTCTTCATTCTTTTCCTGTTATCAGAGGCCTTTTGGTGGCCACCTCTGGTCAATAGGAATATGGAGAGCAAAGCTCCCGATGAAGGCAAGATTTGTAGATTATCTGGGTTTGGGTGCCATGGTTGGCCCTGTTCCCTCCTCTGACCCCTGAGCAAAGCAGATACCTCATCCTACACATTCAGAGGAGAGAAGAATTGGCCTCAAAGCTTCCCAGGAAGGTGATGCCCCAGCCTCTAAATCTTCCATTCCCACATTTCTTAGGGTTATTTGTTATTCAACATGATCTGGCTCACTCAGCCATACATTGGAAGGCCATCCACACTGCAAAACAATTAAATCCCTGCTCCTCCTTTTCATCCCTGCAACATTCTGCATGAGTTGTCCTCAGAAAAGCAACAAACTAGAACTTGCCGTTCACAGCATCTGCCCTTGCAACTTTTCTTTAAGAAGCCCTCATTCCCTGCACATCCCTTTTCGTTCCAGCTCAGGGTCCTCGCCATATTCCTCCACATCCTCAGTCACCCAGGGTTCTCTCTGGACCTCAGCATTAGATGCTTTGAGGATGTCTGTCTATCCATTTGAGATACCTCTCAGGGTCCTTGGTTATTCAGATTATCTATGCTGCAAAATTTGCATTAAAATCATACCCATTCTACATAGCTTTTCTGAATTTAGCTGCAATCCACTGAGTCATTTTTGAGCCACGAGCTAAGAAATAGATAAAAATTTATATCAAGGGGTAGGAAAAAGGAACAAACCACCCAGAATGGTGGTGAAGCTCATCAGGTCTGGTCATGGTGGTTCTAGCTCTATGTTCAGTGATATGAGAATTTTTTTTTCTTTTCCTGAGAAAGGTGAGGGCCTCCACCCTGTTGAGTCATGGGGAGAAAGCTGCTTAGGCCATGCAAGCCTGCTCCTGGCTGCCACCCTTCCATGCTGTCTCCTTTTGTGCTTCCAGAGACTGTGATCCCCTCTAATCCCACTGTGGTGAAGGGCGTGACAGGAGGCTCTGTGTCCTTGCTCTGCCCCTATGACCAGAAGGAAAGCAACAGCATCAAGTACTTGTGTCGCTGGGAAGGAACACAAAATGGCCGCTGCCCACTGCTGGTGTCCAGCGACGGGGAGGTTCAGGAAGAGCATGAGGGCAGGCTCGCACTCTTTAAAGAGCCGGGCAATGGCACCTACACGGTCATACTCAACCAGCTCACCACCCAGGATGCTGGCTTCTACTGGTGTCTCACCAATGGCAATACTCGCTGGAGGACCTCAACGGAGCTCCAGATTGTTGAAGGTAAGAGCTTAGGGGCAAGAGAAAAGGGAGACCACTCAAGTCAGCAGCAGTCTCCCCAGCCACTGTTCCTCCTATCTCACCTGCATCCTGGTGTGTGGATGAGGACAGTCCCCAGGAGAGAGCCTTCCTATTCAAAGGTCACATTTTGGTACCTATGACAAGCACCCCCCACTCTTCCAATTACTACCTGTAGCACTTCCTAATTTCAGGAACACTGGCCTCTTTTGCAGTAGGTGAAGTAGAATATTGAATAAGGCTCTTGAATGTGAGTCTAGAAGAAAAGGAAGAGTAAGGAAAGCAAACTGAAACCAAGGAGCAAAGCTCTGTGTTCTCTTAACAGACTCTGGACCGATCGCGGTGGGCATCAGTAATGACAATGACAACAGCACATCATTCTGTTGCTGAAGTAATTAGCCTAATCTATTTAGAGCACTATGCAAAAGGAGAAATGAGGACAAAGATCACCACCATGGTCACTTTCCTGCAGCATCTCCACATGCCAACTTCTATGCCTATGTCTTCTTCCTTCCCTGCCTCAGGAAAACCAAGCCTCAAGGTACCGGAGAATGTGACCGCTGTGCTGGGGAAGAGTCTTGAGCTCCAGTGCCACTTCCCCTGCAAATACTACACCTTTGAGAAGTACTGGTGCAAGTGGAGCAACGGGGAATGCAGGGAGCTGCCCAGCCAAGACAAAAGCCCCAGCCAGGCCCTTGTGACCTGTGACCAGAACAACCGGTTCATCTCCATGACCCTGAATTCAGTTGTCAAGGAGGATGAAGGCTGGTACTGGTGTGGCGTGAGAAAAGACCACAATTATGGAGAGACTGCAGCAGTCTACGTGGCAGTTGAGCAGGTGGCAGTGGGTGAGTCTCCAAGGGGAGGGCCTGTGCTCTCTGGAACCCCAAAGGAGGACCACTCAAAAGTCCCTGACAATTTCTCAACCACAGGTGGCCCTGGGTTTGGCATCAGAAACTGGATGAGGTGTGTGTGTGTGGGGGGGGGTGCAGGACAATTGGGAGTTCTCCATAAGGGGCATCCCAAATAGAAATACAAGCTATATAAAAATAGTAAGTTGGCTGTTTAACCTCAGCAGTTAAGCCAAGTGCCATAGTTGCCTCTTCAAATCAAACCAAAGTACATTTTGTAACTAGAAAGATGGAAATTTCACTATCACATGCAATATACTCATCTACTCATCCTCCTGCCCTCTATCAAAGCCTGCCCTCAAAAGTGGGGCCAAATACCTTCATTTGCAAGGTCTGATCAAGAAAATTAAGGCATGGGACAAAGATTAACTTAGTGTGGAGCATGTGCTTAGCACAAGCAAGGCCCTGGTTGCGATTCCCAACACCAAAAAAAAAAAAAAAAAAAGTAAGAAAGAAAACTAAGATGACCTCATCCAGCAGATCTGCATTTCCAGCCTCTTTTTTTGCCCTAATGAAGGTATTTTTAGACACTCTCCATATCCCATTGTGTCTGGGTCCTCCTATTGGTCTGGTTCATTGAGGGGGCCACCACCACCCAGCTACCACCAGGAGGCAGCACTGCCCAGCAGTTAGGAGGCTTCTGGCAGGGTTTCAACTTGTGAAAAATCTCCCTGTCCCCAGATGTTGAGTGAGCCCTTATTCACAGCTGGATCCATGACACGGAGTCTTGATTATGGAAACAACTTGGGTAGCAATGAGGCAGAGATCATCTGTGACAAGCTAGAGAAGGCCATCACTCCTCTGCTTCTAATGTCAATCTTGGTCCCGCCCTAACAGTCGTGAGCTCTAACTCTAACCCTGTGATTTCTGATGAAGCTTCAGTCCTCAGGCTCCCTAACCTATGGGAGTAAGAACACTGGGGAAGTGGGGGTGGGTGGGAGGGACTTAACTGAGTCCTTGCTCTTCTCTGCTCCAGGGTCCCGTGAGGTCAGCCCAGCCAACACAAATCCAGGGGCTGAGGAGAAAGTGGCAGAGCCCACTGTTAGAGTGATTGAGAACAAAGCCGTTGTGAATCCCAGGCTTTTTGCAGAAGAAAGAGCGGTGGTAGAGGATACGGGAGACCAAGAATCTGGGATCAGAGCATCCTCGGATACTAGCAGGTGAGGAAAGACTGGGACTCCTCACTCTGAGCACAGATAAAGTCGTAAGGCTGGGCCACCAGTTCCAAAGATCTCTTTAATAGTGAGGCAGCCCTAACTGCCTCTGCTTGAGCTTGGGGCTGTGGGTCCCTTGTGCCCTCAGATGGCCAGAACAGTGTTTATACTTCAGTACAAGCTTCCAAGCCTGGGATGCAGAAAAGGCCCATACCTTGCCTTATGAGTCTGGGAAGGTTTCTTAGGAGAACAGAGCTCGGGAGCTGTGTCAGGAGGGTGGAATGGATTAACCTGGGAAGGACATTAGCTGGGGCCAACCTGTCAGCTCATCCGGCAGCTCCTGAGTCTCCCTTCCAGTGATGGATTGACTTAACCCTTCTTCTAGCTCTGAGGGACAAAGCAGAAGCTCCAAAGTGTTGCTGTCCACCCTGGTGCCTCTAGGTCTGGTTCTGACAGCGGGGGCTGTGGCTGTGTGGGTGGCCAGAGCCCGGCACCGGAAGAATGTGGGTGAGTGCCCGGGATGTTCTCCAACCCCACCTCCATCCCTGAACCCTCATTCCTGGCTCAGCTGCCCACATGGGAGGCCACCACAGTGTCCTGTTGACTTGGTGGCCTCTCCATTGACTTGTACAAAGGATTCTGAGAAAGTGAGTTGGGAACAACAAACCCCCATGTCCTCCCAAATTAATTAGGTGCTACTATCTAGATACTGTCTCTGGAAGACAGCAATCAGCTTGGGGTCTAAGTTCAGAGGCAGGGCTGCCAGGAGACCAGGATCGGGGAGGCCTGGGCATCTGCCTAGTTCAGTGACTAAAGGATTGCGTGACTCTGTGACATCCCCACTTCATGCCTCAGTTTTCTCATGGCTCAATACAGAATGATAATAACCATCTCACAGGGCTGATGTGAGGGCAAAACAGGTGCTGTGCATTAGGAATCACAGAATGACAAAGGTCAGGGAGTATTGATTATCCACCAAGAGGGACTCAGATCCATTCTGCTTTGGGTCAGAGGCAGAAGTGTGCAGCCAGAGGTCCCACTCCCGTAGCTGTCCCATGGGCTATGGCAGAGCTACCTCGAGAGGAGTAGCTCTGGTCTTCTCTGGCCCAACCCTGTCCTTACACCAATCCTTCAATCTCCTGGACAGACCGGGTTTCAATTAGAAGCTACAGGACGGATATTAGCATGTCAGACTTTGACAACTCCAGGGAATTTGGTGCCGTTGACAATATGGGAGCCGCTCCAGTCACTCAGGAGACCATCCTTGAAGAAAAAGCTGGTATGTGTGGAGAGAATGCTCAACCCCGCTGTCATGCAGCAAGAGCTAGTCTGACCCTGAGTCTGGGGTGGAAACAGGAGCTAGTGAGAGCTAACCACACTCTCTGTATATGCAGAGGCCATGGCCACCCCCGAGGGCAACACAGAACCTGAAGAACCCAAGAGGGCAAAAAGGGTAAGAGTCCCGGGAGAGAGGGAGAGCCCCATTAGAATGACAAGGAATTGCAAGATGAGGAATTATGGTTAGATATCAGGGGCACCTTTGCATGGAGGCTGACCCCAGAACAGGGAAGATGGCACAAACAGTATCAGGGGGACTTTCTGCAGGAGGGGAAAGGCTTCCTGGTTGTGGGTGTTGTGTGTAAAGCTGAGGAAGAAGGCAGCTGCATTGGTAGACTATAAACCTGCAGGGGGGAGGAAGCCAGGACAGAAGAAAGAAAAGTGCCTGACAGGTGTGGGCACAGGCGGGAGATCACATGTCAAGAGCTGGGGGTTGGGAGATGCTCTTTCTGGGCTGCAGGACCCCTGGACTTCCCTTAGGTCACCCACCCTCCCTTGAGAGTTGCTCAGCACCAGCTCTTTGTCTGGGCCTGAAAGACATTCACTGGTGGTGGGCAACTTGATGGGTGGTGGGTGACTGGCAGGCCCTGCCCACCCCAGTGGAGTGGCAGTACACAGTACATGAAATCCCACTAGAGCTTACTCTGGATTTTGGGTTACGTGTCACCCTCATCCTGTGGCTTCCTAGAAGGATACTGACTGGCCTCTAATTCTGAAGCCTTCATGCTTTTTATCCTATCTAATTCCCCTGGCAACAACAGTCACCTCTGCTTTTAGCAAGAGGTATCCACAAAGCTACAGGCAGCTTCCCCACCGGCTGCTGAAAAGCTACCTTTCTGTGCTGGTGGAGAAAGAAAAACACAAACCACCTTACCTGATGCCAACTGGGCCACCTTGCCCATGGACTGTGTGGGCACAGCTTCCGGGGACAGGCCAGGGCAACAGAGGTGGTTCCGCCCCACGTGCTGGAAGGAGGTAGTGAGACAGAGGGAGATATTTTTAGAGGTTGCAACTTTCCATTTCTCAAAATCAGAGCTTCTTGGTGAGCACAGGGCAGGCCTGAGAACAGGGGACCACACAAGCTTGTGTTGCTCAGGTCAAGATGATGAATCCCGGATGTGGAAAGCACCCCTCCCTCCCCACCCTCATCCACTGATGCCTCTTCTTTTGCCCCCTAGTCATCCAAGGAGGAAGCCGACATGGCGTATTCCGCCTTCCTGCTCCAGTCTGGCAAGATAGCTGCCCAGGGCCAGGAGGAACCCAGTGAAGTCTAGGGCAGCACCAGCCGCCTGCCCCATTGCCTGTGACAATCACCTTCAGAATTATGCTGATCTGCTGCCTGCACTCACCCCCACCTAGGCTTTTTCTACCTGTGCTCAGAGGTTGCTGGTCCTGTCCTCAGTGACAACAAGGCCTGGCCAAATTGTTCCTGTTGGGTGAGGTGGGGACAAGGAGTGTCCATCTGCAGCTAGTTTTTGTTGAGAGAACTTCAAGTGTGAAGGATTCAGATCTTAGAGGGGTCTCTCTGAAAGAAGGGAGACCTGGGTGGGGAGCTCATTTCAGGAAGGAGAACCTTTGGGGCCTCCCTACACCCCTATGGTGGGATGCCACTGATATTTTCCCCTCCAATCCATCTCTCCCTTTCTTCCTTCCTTTCTTCTTTCCTTCATTAAAAAGTCATGTTTGAATATTTACTAGAATCCAGGCATCCTGCTAGATGATGGGACAAATATACCATAAACCCAGTTGACCACGTCTCAATAAATATCACTGAGGGAGGCCCGATACTCCCAGTGTGTATCCACTCATAAGACCTGACACCTTAGCAGGTACACTCACCTCACCCCCCAATGGGTGACATCATACAATGCCTGGAGTCCTAAAGCATACATACAAGTCATCACCAACATACTCTTGCAGTCCTAGGCAAGAACTTTGAGGTCCTGAGTTTTTCTCAAGGGCACCCAGTAAGATAAGTGAGTATCCAACCAGATTTGGCATGTCCTGACCAGGGACCTTTCTGTAAGAGTCCTGCCCCACTGTTAGAGGTAGTTTATAGAACAAGGAGGAGGAAAGGAAAAATGTGATTAGTGACTGATGTTTCCCAGGTCCCACCTGCAGGGAAGATAACTCCTTCCCTTCCTGTCACTCCCCTGGATCTAAGATAAGAGGGCTGTCAAACACATGTTTGAAGAATTATAAGAGGGAGAGAAGGAAAGAGAATGTCAGATGGTGCCAGGGAGGGGCTGATATCCCAAGAGCTAAAATTAAAGCTCTTTCTTCCTCTGAGCTCTGTATTTCAACCAGCATCTACAAGCCGGCCCTTGCTAACAAATCAGAAATGTGACTTAATTCATAATTAAAGACCATGATTGCCACCAAGAAGGGTTGGACTGCATTTGTCTCCCACACCTGGGGTTTTCCTGATAATTTTTCCAAAGCATTTTTCTTTGGTCCCACTTTTAGACACCCTGGGGCATGTGTCTAAGCCAACAGGCTCCCCCACCTCCTCCCCAAGGCTAGACTAAAGAGGGCTAGGAAAGTTCCTGAAAGTGGGACCAAGATTGTCTTCAATGAAAGAATGGTTTTCAGTGAAAGAATGGTTTTATGTGAAGTTTGTTATAGAATATAATTAAGACTATAGTGGAATAAACTGAAAGCTAGTATCACCAGGGCTTCTGATGGGCACTGATAAAACAACAAACAAACAACAAAACCTTAGAATAGTAAATACTTAACCTTGAAACTCCTGTTCCTGGTGTTCCCTCCAAAATCAATAGGCCACTAATCAAAAGCACAAGAGTAAACTCTTTCTATAGGCTCATCAACTAAAAGCTAGTTAAATGATAACTGAAAGTTTAGAGTGATTGATCCAAAGTCTCTTTGAGGGGGTTAGTGATTAGATAAAGGACCCCTTATTTACTAAGCTTATCCTAGCTTCTGGCACTAAACTATGTCACATCCTACAGGCTGGCAGCTTGTGTCCCCTCTCCAATCCCTACCTGGAATCTTCCTCAGGGGCTGGATATGGAAAAGTCTCTCCTGAAGAAAGCTCTCCCTAGTCTTCCGTTCTGCCTGGTGGGGAACCGTGCTTTCTACCTGAGCCTTGAGCACGATATCTCAGGGTCACTTCCCAAGCCTACCTTTGCAGGGACTCAGACTTCCCTTCCCCCTATTCTCCCCTCCAGTCCCACTAACTACAGTGTCCTGTGCCAATTCCCAAGTGCTGGCCTGGCTCAGGGCCTTGGGCTCCTCCCCAGGCTAGAGAGGTGGCCATCAGGAGTGTTGACTTCCCTCTTCTCTGTGATGGGAATGCAGTCCTAGCTTCTCCCGGGATGACAGCGAGTCATTCCAAGAGAACTAAAATTACAAGGCATGTTGGAACCTATAAGTGTTTTATCCCTCAGGAAGCTACTCTTGACCCACAAGAGGTCCCAGCCTGTGGCAAACAATTAAGATGCAATTTCTGCATCAGGGCCAATAACCAGGAGGCCAGTCCCCCAGTCCCCAGAATAAAAGGCCAAGAAATGTCACTAACATCTCAGAAAGTCTCGTTATTCCTAACTGATATTGTCACTAGTGATTGCAAAGATAATGATGTCTGCCCAAAGCTCATCAGCTGCCCAGGAGCACAGGAGAGGAAAAGCTGGTTCTTAGGTAGACATGAATTTTAGGAAGCTACCATTCAGCCCAGTACAGGGAATAACTATTAACTGTGAGATTGATGATGATAGACCACTTAGCAGTGGCCATCAGCCACTCAGGGAGCTACTTACATATTTAATGCCAAAGAAAGCTTTCTCAAGTTCTAGAACTATCTTGACTTTTTTTCTTTTTAAGTCTGCTAGGTAATGATATGCTCATGCATTACTAAGGTCCAACAGTATTTTCAAATATATTATAGCAATTGACTTTGTTTTTTAAAGCAAAACAGAAAACTCGTTCATGAATTTTCCAAGACTCAAGACGGAACAACTCTCCTAAAAATGACAGATGGCAGTGAGGAACCATCCGTGCTGTGGTCTATGAAGCTGGTCCCCAATACAGAGAAACAGTGTTTCCCCACCCCCTCACTAGCTTCCCTAAAACAATTACCTCTGCTAGGGAGACTGTGTCATAGAAACAATGAGGGATCATCTCAGAGAGACTTCATATCTCAGTGGGCAGTGGGCATGCACCCAAGAGAGCAGATGAAGGGCCAAAGCCAACGGCCCCCAGTTCGCCATGAAATTAAAACAAGAACAGAGAGTTCATCCAGCCATATGAGCCAAGAACTCTAGAGTTTCACTTTCAAGGCTGAAAAATAAAAGGGCTGCTCTGGGCTGGGGGTGAAGCTTAGTAGTCAAGTATTTGCCTAGCAGGCACAAGACCCTGAATTCCATCAGCAGAACTGGAAAGAAAAGAAAGAAGAGGTTACAATCCACTCTTAACTAAAGCCAAAAGTCTTTATCCTGGACATGGAAATGTGAATATGCTAAAATCCAGGACTTGGGTGATGAATCACATTATAATTCACCCTGAATTCCTGTATGTTTTGGCCAAGTAAGCCTACGGTCAAGTTCCTGGAAGGAGGGAAGTTCAGGATACCTAAGGTGGGTGCCTCCACCTGGTGGGGAGGGGCTCCCTGGAGAGGCCACCAGCAGAGATTCTCAAGGTCAGACACTGCAGAGAGGAGCACTGAGTCATAGGGAAGGCCACCTGAGGATGGAGGCATTCCAGGTGGACAGGCCCAGAAGATGGCCCTTTGGAAACTAGCTATGGGGAAGGCCAAGGTAGAGAAATGCAACCCAGTGACAATGGTGAACCCCACTCACTCTTACTGTATTCCAGGGTGTGTGCTGTGCCCCAGGTAAGGCTCACCTCTTGCCACCCTCACCTTAGGAAAAATGCTCCTTTAAGCCCAGCAGTAACACGGGGAGGATAGCAAAGCCTCAGTTAAGAGGTGGTCATGGAAAGTGAACGACTATGCCTCTAGGCCTGAATGCTCTCCTTCACATACACCCCTCTGGCCCCTGGAAGCTGTTTGGCCATTGAGTCCCCTGCACCTTTTGTGTGCTCCTGGGACTAGGAACGCCAGGAACACAGCAGCCCATGAATCAGGAGATTAAATTCACATGGGGAAAAGAAGAGAGAAGAGAATATGAATGGTAAACAGCATTATTTATCCAGAGGCCAGGTTTCCTAAGGGTCCCTGCTCCTAGACACCCTGGGACAACATCTCAAGGCAGTATCTGTACAGGCCAAGGTGTGGGAATTTGATCTCTCCAGTTACCTTCTGCCTGGCAGTATTCAGACCCCTAATTCTTTGTTGTTGTTTTTGTTGTTTTTAGTTATATATGACAATAGAATGTATTTCGACATATCACACATAGCTGGGGTACAACTTCCCATTTTTCTGGTTGCACATGATGTGGAATGACATTGGTCGTGTATTCATATATGAACATAGGAAAGTGATGTCCAATTCATTCCAGTGTGTCTCCTATTCCCGATCCCCCTCCCTTCCCTTCATTCCCCTTTGTCTAATCCAAAGTGTTTCTATTCTTCCCTACCTCATGCCCTTATTGTGAGTTAGCATCCACATATCAGAAAGAACATTCAGCCTTTGGTTTTCTGGGATTGGCTTATGTCACTTAGCATGACAGTCTCCAGCTCCATTCATTTATGGGAAAATGCCATAATTTCATTTCAGAACCCCAATTCTTGCTCTTAACCCCATGTGATGCTTTTAAAAATTTCATTGGGGCCACACATGTGGGAAATTCTTTACCCAGGCTCATTCGCAGAACTCCAGCTCCACCTGGATAGGCCTGGCTACAGCGCAGTGCACCCAGGTCCTTGCAGACACTCATACACACATCATACTCATGCACACACGTGCCATGCACTGCTCATCCCACTCCACACATCACACAATACACATTGCACACTCATACACTCGTAGCCATCATACACACACTATACAATTATGCATCTCACAATACACATACACATCCATACAGCTTGTGCACACTCACACATTCACACCCACAAGCTCTCACACCCACAGCCACACACATCACATTCACTCATTTATATTAGGACCCTCCCTTCCTCTTTTCTCCCTGGGTCCCCAAGACAGTCCCAGCAAACAGCAGAGCCTGGCAGCTACAGGGCACTGAAGGGCCCTCTAAGGAGGGAGGGTGGGAGCTGATCCCAGCTGAAACCTCTGGCCCCCTAGCCTGACAGAGGCCTCTGACATCATGGCCCATCTGCTGGTTGCAGGACCTAGCTCCTCTGAGCCAGTGTAGATCTAGCCAGAACAGGGCAGGGCAGGGCAGGGCAGGCAACCCGCCCACACGTGCTTCCTCTGCACCTGCTCACAATGGACCCCTAACTGGGGGAACTTGTTGTTTTGGAGAGCATGTGACAAATTTGGTGTGTGGGGGCAAGTGGGTTGTGATGCACACAGCCCCTGAGGAGCCCTGGGCTCTGTCAGCTGCCTCCTTCCTGAGGTGGTGCAGGAATAGCATGAATCCTCCATGGGCACAGGAGGCTGCAGCACCTGGAGGTGGGAACTGACATCCAGGAATGAAGCACCGAGGACTGAGGCCCTGGGAACTCTCTGATCAGTAACAGTGCAGCACGTCTCCACTTGAAATAGGACTCCTAAAGCTCTTTCACATCTGTAATTTTTGCTGGGCATCATAAAAGATGTGTGAGGTAGGCAGGGCTGAAACCCTCCCTACTTTCTTAATGAGAAAACTGAGGTCCAGGAAAGCTTTCCCAAAACTAGATTGTGACATTGCTCCTATGGTCCCTGGATAGTGGCCTGGGTCCCTGCTGGAGGGAATTACCTTATGGAGATAGCTGTGGGAAATGAGGGATGAGGGATGGCGGAGTGAACTAGGGATGATGTTCTGTAGGAGGAAATGCCAGGGGTCATCTAGTCCCACCTTAATATATTTTCTAGGTAAAGAAATCAACACTCTTGGGATGGGAATGTGGCTCAAGCAGTAGCACTATCGCCTGGCATGAGTGCGGCCCGGGTTCTATCCTCAGCACCACATACAAACAAAAATGTTGTGTCCGCCGATAACTAAAAAATAAATCTTAAATTTTTCTCTCTGTCTCTCTCTCTCTCTATCTCTATCTCTCTCTTTAAAAAAAAAGAAAAGAAAAGAAATCAAGACTCAGAGAAAAGTACTGAATTGCCCCAGATCCATGATTGGCAACTCCACATAGTAGGTGCTCCAAGGTATTCTTCAAATGAGCTAACGGGTGACTGATAAGGACCACAGCCAGCATCTTCTGCTTCAGGTCCAAACCTCTGTCCACACAGCTTCCATCCAATGGGAAGAATTGGAGATGAGGCTCTTTTGTCCTGAAGACAGGGGTAAAGCAAAGGCCCTCAGCTCAGGAGTTAATGGATACATATAAAGCACAGGAGGCCCCTCCAAGAAAAAGTGTGAAGGCAAAGAGATACCAGGCTGGTGCTCGCTAACAATCTCGAGAGCTTCCTAGAGGCCCTTTGAACCCTGGTGACCCATTCTCACCCAACACAGCATGTTTTCTCAATTCCTGACTTCCGCTGTGGTTTGCTGGTATTTTCTTTTTTAGGCTAAGACTAGCTGGCAAACAAGACAGGTTGTCATTTCCTCATTTTCAAGCCTTTGCCCCTTGATGGGGCCAGAATCTCTTTCAAGCTCCCGATGGTGAAGGGCTCTCGGGTTGGCAGTGGGTCTCTGCTCCTGCTCCAGAGGCTTTGGAAAGAACCATGGATCTCTGGCTTTGGTCACTTTACTTCCTGCCAGGTAAGTACTCTGGGGAAACACTTCACACTTTTTATGAAGTGGCCACAGACAATCAATCGCCAGGCATCTCCGCCCCTAATGTTCCTTGATGGATTCAATTGCAAACCAGTACAAGGACGGAGGCCATGTGAATCACCGGAGCACCCCTGCTCCCTGCTAGTGCTCCTCTCTCCACTCCAGGTACTATTTAGCCAGTTGTTAATTCTCAAGGGCTAAAGGTATCTCATTTCCCAGACATTTCTACCTTTATTATGGGATCTTAAAGCTGGTGCCTCCAAAGATCTTTCTTCTTACTGCCATATTCTCTGTCTATAGATCTTTTTCACTCCTGAATTTCCAGCTTTCAACTCTAAAGGAGGACTCCCTAATCCATTCAACAGTCCCATTCTATTTTCTGAATTTCATATTTCAGTTGGCAACCGTCTCTTGGACACCCCATTTTAACAACCCACAAAGACCGGAGACACAGCTACATACTTAACCCTTTATCACTTAACCCTTTATCTCCGACTCCTCATTGGTCCCATCCAAGTGGGCTATTTCATCTGCCGTAAGTGTTTCTAATATCAGCCACAAAATGCCAGAATGGCTTTTTTTTTTACCACCTCTTCCCATTTAGTCTCAACCAGAGTTTGGTCCAATCAATGGCCAATTTGTGTAGCTTACCAGAATGAGAAGCAGTGGCAGCTTCTACTAGCAAGGTCACAGAGGAAAAGGAAAGGGGTCAAATGCACAACTATCCTCTCTTGACTATCTTTCCCACTTTCACCCTCTCAACAGCTTGACTCTAGTCATAGGATTGTTCTTTGCAAAACCTTCAATGTATTGACACATTCTCCAACAGCTTGACTCTAGTCATAGGATTGTTCTTTGCAAAACCTTCAATGTATTGACACATTCTCCTGCACTTTGCTCTAGCCAAACAGGACTCTTCCTTGAACATGTGCTACACACCCCTGCCACCTTGCCCTTCCTCACCCATGTTATTCGTTCTACCAGAAACATCCTCCATTTCACCTTCGCCTCTTATGAGTTCCTTAAAGTCCACCTCAGTCTCCACTCCCTTTTCAAAGACTTTCCTGAGCCCCCGCTTCTGAACTCAGAATACTGATGACATTCATATTGTGGCTCCGTGTGTGTTTATTTGGTTAATTAAATGATAAGCTCCTTGAGGATCAAAATGGATTTTTATTCAAAAGTTCTTTCTTTGTGATGCCTTCAGTATAGAATAAATTCAAATAATTGTTGCATTGAAAAGTCTTAAGAGCCCAAAGGAGTGGAGTTTTAATGCAGTGTCAGACACTCTGAGAGGTAGTGGGATATATGTGTATGATGGATGGCTAATCAAACTGAGGCTGAGAAGGCAGAGGGGTGGGGCAGGGAATGGAAGATATAAAGGTGTAAAGAGTGCTTAAATCATACCACCTCAGTCTGTCCCTGAGCGGCACCGCCATTCTAGCTGGGCCAAAGGGATGTTGCTCTCTCTAGAAGGAGGGGAGGATTTCGCAGGCCCAAGAGGATGCGGGGGGCTCATGCTTGAAGCTCTCCCACCATGCTAACATGGGCTTTCAGTGGGCTCCCGTAGAGCTCCCTCTCCAGTCCCTGTAGTCTGCATTCTCCTCCCATGATGGTTTCCACCTCTTTACCCTTGTCCACATTTACCCATTTTACCCATCAGGGATGTCCTGATCCAGAATCCTCAAGTCTCACTGCTCTCCTGATGCTTTTCTTGACACTCATTTGACTGAACTCCTTGCAGCTATCCTGAAGTCGTGCTCTGGGGATGCATCTCCCTAAGCAGGAGGAGTTCTCTCCATCCACATCCACAGATGTGCTCTGTTCTCTCTGGCATCCCCACCCTGGTGGGGACCATTCTTACCATCTGGAAGACTTCTCCTTTGCTGCCCTGCACTCCATCCCATCCCACCCCAACACACACACACAGACACACACACACACACACACACACACACACACACACACTTTACCTTATGAATCCTCTTCCTGACAATATTCAGACACTTACTGGGACCTGTTTAGTTAATAATTAATCATTGAGGCCTTACCCTCTTCTTAGCTGGCTGAGCTGCATGAGACCTCTCACCTAAAACACAAGCCTTTTAATGTCAGACTCTTGCAACCCACATCTTTTATCCCTTCCTGCTCCACACCCTGTCAACACACAGTGTGCCCACACCCCCACCCGCATTCATTCACACACTCCTTTGAGCTCCCCACTGGGTGACAAGTATCAGGATTCTCAGTTGCCCTCTATGTCCTTTCCTTCAGATCACAATTTAGACACCACATCTTCCAAATGACCTTCCTCTAACTACCCCACCCCCTACAAGAGACTGGATCAGGGGCCCCTGCTTGCTCCTTCCAAGGAATACTGTGCTCTCTCTGTCACAGAATTGATCACTCCGTGTTGTACTGGCTGACTGTTGGTATTGCTCACTAAATGATTGTTCTGCAAGGGAGAGATGCTCATGAGAGGCATTCAGTAGACACTTACTGAATGACTGAATATGGAGAACTGTTGGAATAAATGACTGGCTGAATGGATATGACCAAAACAAAACTGGAGAGGAAAACCTACTGCAGCAAAACTGACCTGCACCTCCCAGCCTCAGGCTGAAGCCCCTTGGGGGCTATATGCCATTTGGGGTCACCCTAGGCACATTATTTCTCCTTGAAGTGGGTGTTGTGGTTTTGATCATATTCTCATAGGGGCGGTCTGGGTCCTTATGGGTATGGATTTAGTGATGAGGCAAAGAGCTAAGTTAAGGTATGGTCATGGGGGACGGGTGTGTAAGGACTTGGCCTGAGGTGGTAAATCGGGTTAGGCAAGGGAAAAGATGAATGAAGATAAGGGAAGAAATCATGACAGGTTGAGGCTGAGGACTGACTGAAGTTGGACTGGCAATGGGGATGGGGCCATGGTTTGGAGTGAGGCAGGGCTAGAACCTGGGCTAGGGTTGCAGAAAGTTAGAGTTGGGGATATGCCTGGGAATGAGGCTCCCTCTGCATTAACTCCTTCTTCTGCAGTATGTGGGGCTCTGAAGATCCTCCCAGAAGTAAAGCTGGATGGAGAACTGGGTGGATCTATTACCATCGAGTGCCCGCTTCCTAAAATAAACGTGAGGATGTATCTGTGCCGGGAGATGGTGAAACCTGCAATCTGTTCCACGGTGGTATCCAATAACTTCATCAAGAAGGAATATGACAGTCGAGTCACTTTGAAGCCGTGCTTACACAAGAATTTGTTCCTAGTGGAGATGACAGAACTGACCGAGAGTGATAGTGGAGTTTATGCCTGCGGAGTGGGCACGCACACAGAACGGGGCAAGACCCAGAAGGTCACCCTGAATGTCCACAGTGGTAGGTGCCACCGCTGCTTGCAGGCAGGTTCAGCCCACTCAGAAAATGTCTCCACTTAGGAAGATTGAGACAGCCATCTAAATAACAGTCCTCCAGACTTCTATGCTATTGCCATATTAGCCAGCCCAATAATAATTAGCATCCACAGAGTTGAACTTCATAGTCCACTAACCTCCTGACCCACAGAACTGTCTATCCACAGTAGGCAAAAGGATAAGAGATGCTGACCTTGTGTTGCCTGTCCCACCCAGGGCACAAAGGGAGAGGTGACATGAGTTTGAGCACCAGTGAAAACTGGAAGCCAAGGACATAACCGTCATATATAACTGTTCCATGAGATATATCAGAGATGAATATAAAGGAAATACACCCACTTATCAAGGCATATTTATAGGCCAGATTTGTTACTGTCTGGTCTGGTTCTTTATTTCTCATGCATCCAGCCTTTCTCCTCTTCTCCAGTGATTTCCTACACAAATGCAGCAACTAATTCAACAGTTCACAGTCCCAATAGCGTCTGATGGTTTTTCAGGGCATATTAGCTGTGCTAGGAGAAAAAGTGCCCTGTCAGGGAGGCCCAAAGACCAGCTCATTTTCTGCTCCTCTCCAGCAATGCTGCTCTCATGCCCTCACTGCCATTTTACCTTGTCTGAGTCAGCTTTTACTTACGCCAACAGTCCCTTCTCCAAGCCTGTCTTTCCTCCAGATACCATCAACATAATCTCCTTGCTTCCAATAGAGTACAATCCATTCTGGGAGGAGGAGCTGATATCTGAGCCTCCAAAATGGTTTCATAAATTTCTGGAGCAGCGGATGCCCACTTGGCTCCAGATGGTTGCACATGCCAGTTCTTCTGAATCCACATCCAAAGGTCAGTCCATCAAAGCATGAGTAAGAGAGATGAGGAAGATGCTGTAGCACTGTGGAAACGGAGGAGGGAGGTGGGTGGGTGTCCAGCTCACCATGAGTGGCAGAGCACAGCAGAGCAGAGCCCAACAGACCTGCCTTTACATCCTCCAAGCCTATCCTAAAGCTATGACTCCCTGACATAGTTGCAGAACTTGCACATCACCACTAGGTGGCACCACAAGCAATGGAGCGTGTGCTCCATTCACAAAATCAGCTCTTTTTATGAATGACTGCCAAACCCATGACTGGGCAGACGTTTCCCAGCTGGAGGTCATCATGTCTTCTTGCTGCCCACAGAGTTGTATTCTACCTGCTGGTGTCTAGTGATTTTAACAACTCTATTTTTCAATTAAAAGATAAATGGTTATTATACTAACAATACTTTCATAGTTCAGTATGTTTCTAGTTTTAAATGCATTTATGACGTGTTAATATTTCCATCATATCATCGCATATATTAATTGAATATTATTACATGAGGGGACCCTGTTGATGGCCAAAAGGAATAGTGTAATTGGGAAGTTCATAGAGCTATGGTTGTTACTGATAGGTGTGTGATGGGGGAGAACAAATAAACAAATATAGCACAAGGCAGAGTGAGAACAGAACTACAAACAAGGTCTCCCCATGCTCATAGGAGGGCAAGCTCTTCTTCCTGGGAAGGCATGAGATGGGGAGCTTCCTGGAGGAAATGGTATTCGAAGCCAATACAGAATTGATTGCATAGAGGTGGTATGCTCTGAAGGCACTTCAGGCCATGAGGACTCTAGGAACAAATGTAGTCTGGGCAAAAGAGAAGAATGTATTGAAGGAAGAGCTAGTGGCCCAGTGCCTCTGGAGACTAGAGTAAAGTGTATATGGAAGGTCCCTTTTTCTTTCATCTCCTGCAGTTACCACACCAACCCAAAGGACTGACGACCCTCCAGAGCCCTACCCTTCCCCCACCACACCAATAATTCATCATCCTCGAGAATCCAGAGCATTCTCAGTAGCAGCTGCCAAGCCCTCAACCGTTCTGCCACCCACCACAACATCAAAGACTTCAACTCAGGAGGGGCTGCTCAGGCCCCCAGGGGCCAGCTACAAGCAGCACACTAGGTTGCATGGGCAGAGGTAAGAGGCCCCCATCATCCATGATGGTTTCAAAGCCAGGTAAAGTAGGCAAGAGTCAAGAGATCCACTAAAATCTTCCTGCAACATCCATTATTAGAGACCCTTCTTAATCTTGTCTGTAGAAGACCACTGTGAAATATACTACCTATGAATATAGCAGGTATGAATCTCATTAGCATTTAATGTTCTAGCACTGAGTCTGTAGAAAGAAATAGACTCAAATCTTTCACATTCAGAATCATTCAACTCTGTTTTGATGGGGGAAAATTAAATGAGAATCAAATGAACTAGTAAGCTATTAAGTGTCTGAATTACTTTCATCTGTTTCATTTTTAAATGTGGCTACTAGGAAATTTAAAGTGACTTACATAGCTAGTGGACAGCCCCAGCCTGAAGACTCAGGTGCAGTTGAAGGAAGGCAGCAATTAACCACTAGGTGGTAGCACTATAGCAGGTGGCAAAGAAAATCTCTAATATTGGAATTTTTTATGCCTAAGCAATCACAAACGCGTTAATGAGGAAAGGGACTTCCAACATTATTTGGGGTTCTATAAATAGGGAAACAGGCTGTGAGAGCTAAGTGATTTCAGATAATACTAGAACCCCTGATACTATTTGGGGTCTGTGATCAAGTTTGTAATGGGCAAGAACATGAGAACTGGAAATATGAGATTTCTTTTGGCTTGGCACAATTGGGGAAGAAAAGAGGACTATGCACTACCCCTTCCAGAAAAGTAAGATTTCAGTATGTACAGAAAACAAAGGGAAGAGGGAGCACTCAGAAAAACATCTTTTTCATAGTAATAAGAAACTAGCTCAAGCCAGGTGCCGTGGCGCACACCTGGAATCCCAGCAGATCTGAAGGCTGAAACAGGAGGATCATGAGTTCAAAGCCAGCCTCAGCAAAGGCAAAGTGCTAAGCAACTCAATGAGACCCTGTCTCTAAATCTGGGGATGTGGCTCAGTAGCCCTTGAGTTCAATCCCTAGTTAAAA